GTGATCACTTATGTTATCAAACTCGTATACATATAATGTTCCAGAGAAATAATGCTCTCCAGCCCCTCTGGAACGAGGTACAAGAATACAATACTGGTGCAACTGTTCAAGAGGCACCAGAAAACATTAGTTGATATCCCACTTAAATTTATTACTACTGCAGAAGAAGGCAAAGCCCATTCATGTCCCAAGCTCTTGATGACTTCGGTGTCCCCCCACTTCCCAATGGTATTCCCATTTCTTTTCCTCATTATCAGTCTCACTCAAAACCTAATGACTACCTTCCCTTCTCTTTTCTTCAACTCCTGTTTTCTTCATTTCTGATTTTTTCCAATGCAAGAAGTTTAAATTTAGAATTTCTCTTCCCTTTCTTACTGAAACCACTGTTGCTTCTGTGTAAATGGAAGTAAAAACTGCAATAGTCAATTTTCCACATTGGTGTTTTCCCCATTTTCTAATTAACAACTAGAATATCTTTTTGTCTTAGTTCCACCTTAGCCTAAAACCAGGTAACACAAGTCTCTGAGAAATGCCCACAGCTAATTCCAGTGATGTGCTTACTAACTTCAGCAAAAATATTAAAAAGTTAATAGTAACATTTTAAATATTTCTGTCACATAGGTCTAACAACTTCTAAACTAAATAGAAACTGTTATGTTTGGAAACAAAGACAAGTGTGAGTGCAAACTTCTAGTAAGCCACATCCAAATTATTTCAGGATTCAATGAAGAACAAAGAAATCTGATTTATCTGATTTGAAATCATGAAATCAGAAGCAATAAAAGGTGTTTTGTTTTGAAAAGAAAAAAAAAAAAAAAGAAGCATCTTAAATTCTCAGTATTTTAATATGGATATTGACATTATTATATGAAAGCTTAAGCTAACAAGCTTTTAAAGTATGTAATGGCCAGGAGTTTTACATGGAGAAAATTAAGTTTTACGTTAAGCATTTGAGAGGAACACTCTATATACTATTTGACCCTCTATTCAAAAGAGATTTTGTAAATTTACATGTACTCTTCATGCCAATGGAAATGTCTCTTTTTCCTTAACAGCTTCTGTTTGTTTTCATCAGTTCCAGACTTTGTATACAGTTTGTAAATTAAAATTTAAATAATAATGATGGCCTTACCCTTAAAGACTCCTGGAATGAGGACGCCTGGTACTGTGCATATTTAGCAATTGTTGTATGTGATCTACTGCTTTCACAACGCCAGATTTTCTTTGTTCCAGTGGGGTCCCAGTTTTCATCTGCTGGCTGCAGTAGCTGTGTCCTTACTTCTACTATGTGTTCGTTATTTGCTTCTACTAATGTCTTAGTAGAGAAGAGTCCTAGGTCTAATAAACAGGAAATAATAAATGACAGTTAAAATATAATAGAAGAAAGAAAATTAATACTTAAAGTTAAAGGTTTAAACTAAAGTGCTTCCCGATCCCAGCCTTCATAACACAGCCTACCTGCAGGTTAATAATTAACACTCACGGTTAATACTCAGAAAGCTTTTCTGCACACAACAGCAGAAGCTTAGAAAAAACTTGGCAGCTACTGTATGGATTATATTCCAGGAAACATTTTACCTGCCTTGGGGTAAACTGCAAAACATCTTTTAAATCTATTGCCAATAAAGTATTTTTTAGACCTGAGTTTTAGGAATGCACTTCCATCAGATAATACACTTCCTGCCAGTGATGACAATTTTTCTTTCTACAGAGTTCAAAACACTGTACACACTCAGATTATACATCATTAAATCTAAGCACAAAGACACGTAGCCATAGTTTTCAATGGAAAAAAGAAGGCTGTCTGCAAACTTCCACATCCATAGCTCAGCTCCAACTTGCGCTCAACAAAATCTGCTGGATTTTGGGGGCTTTTCAAGATGATCAAGATTAGAAACAGTAGCAAACTGAGAAATGACACATTACCCTAATTACTTGGAATACACAAGTAATACAGTATTACAAAAACAAAACATCCACTTTTAAGAACTGAGACTTCCTTTGAAAAAACACACTTTTTTTTCCTGGGGTAAAAAAACCACAGAAACTAAACTTACCTAATTTAAGCGCTCCAGCAAGGCCACGTATTACAGTAACAGGGTTGTTTGGATTTGTACAAAATTGATGTAAAGGTGGAAAGAAAGCATCTCGTTTATTTTCCAACTGTAAAATTGTAATGGAATATTAGATGTCAGATGAATTTAGACTCCATATTTGTAAAATAAGAAAAATAGAAAAAAGAGAAACAACAGGAAGAAGACAGGAATGTTCTCCATTTCCCTGCATTTGTATGGAATGAACAGCTACATAACACAACCCTTTTGATGTTAAAAGCTGGGTTCACTCCTGAAATTAATTTGTTACCACAATTTATTTCTTGGCATGAATTATTCCCATGTTACTTTGGCTTTTGCAACTTAGGTTTCCTGCAGTTTTTTCTTTATCTTCTAGTTTTCTTGTATATTCCCTAAATCTACAGAATTCTCTGAAGAGCAAGATAATATACTAACTTTCTTCTAAGAAGTCAAAAAAGCTAATTCTACAGATAAGGTACACAAGAAGAAGTATAATTAAAAAGACTACTCTTACAGTGTATCTCATGTTAACCAGAAAGGTTGATTTGATTTTTTTACGCCTCTGTCCACAAGTGCTTCCAATTTCATCTAGCTCTCATCTCAGGCACACAGCTTGTGTAGTATCAAACCGAAGTGCTGACTGCTTCTGGTCCTCAATTTGAGCTACCAAACTAACTTGAGGTTTTAATGGTGGCTCTACAGACATACTGTAATTTATTCTTCTGTTTTCAAGGAAGTGGACATCTGTTACTAAGCAAGTTAGCTCAAACTCTTCATAAAGATATTGTGAAGCGTTAATTTCAGAACAGTAGTTTTAATTCTTGCATAAGTAAACACTATGCAGCTAAGATCTACCTTCCCCTAATGATGTTTTGCTCTTAATACCACCTCAACCTTCCCCCCCCCCCCCCCCTATATTTTGAAGGAAATCATTAGGAGAGCATAACTACTTGCTCACTTATACCTAAAGCGTCACTTGCAAAAAACGTACACACGTATTTGAAACATTGTGCGTTGTATCTAATGACTTGTTTTGCTTATTCTGCCAATATTTTGAGTATAAATAACCCCTCAAAAATATCTGAAGCTGTTTTTCAGGTATGTATTTTTTCAAACATGCAATTCAGATACCCAAACACTTACAAAAGGCAGTCAGCAATGCACTTCTACCATGAGATTTACTTACATAAATACTAGGTGTAGGTGGATTCAGCTTGTCCTTTGGCAAGGGAGGGTACGGTGGAGGCGGTGGTCGTGGAGGTGGGCATTTATCCAATAGAATACTACTGTTAGATAAGCCATTTTTACCCAGATTCCTAAAAGGAAAAAAGAGCTGCCTCTGTCAATACTCGACAGATAAAATAAATCCATATTAGTGTCATTTCTTCTGCAAAATATTGATGTATAAAGGAGAAACCGTAACTCAAGATGCAAATAAAGCTCATATATTTTAATCAAGAATTCCCAGTGTATAATTTGATATAATTCAAAATAATTCCCACTCTGCCTGCCAAATCTGCAACATCACCACTATGAGTTAAAAATACAACCATTTTAAACATAAGCAAGTATGACTCATTTGACAAAATTTAACAGAAAAAAGCAGGTTTCAACTAGGAACAGCAAAGAACCTTTCTAGGTCAGCACTGGCTGGTGGGTATCGATTCACAGCAGTTGAGATAACACAGTCTGGTAATGCTGTGCACAGCACTGTAGCAGAGCACAGTCAGAAAATGACAATGCTTCAGCTAAAAAAATGCTGAGTCACAAAACCAACTACAACTACACTAATGACACTAAACTGAACAACCACCTACCCCTCTCTGACTTAAGCATTTCAAAGCCAGGAGGAGCCACTGCTGCATACTCCATTTGTTCGAGCAACAGAAGAAAGGACCTACCCTGAATAGTTGCTGTGCCAACACCCGTATGCATACCTGCGTGAGAATCTTGCTTGTTGTATTTGCAGCCTTTCTATGGAGATTTCCAGATGTGGATAACCCACCGTATGTGTGTTAACTTTCCTACAATGAACAACCTGAAAAATCTATATTCTGAGCTCAATATCCAGGCACTATCATGAGGAAAGTATTTATTAACAAAGCCGTCCCTCAAATTTTTGTCTGTTAAGTGACTCAGCTACTCCAAAATTCTTTCAACTAAATGCGATTCAAATCTGTCTTCCAACCTCTCTTGATTCCCCAGCTGCTGTTGCCTCATCTCAACATCCCACAAAATAGGATGTTTCTAATGCATAATGTAGTCATGTACCTTTGTAAAACTCACCGGTTATAGAAAAGTTGTTCTGGTAACAAGAGTCTTCAGCAGAAAACACATCTGGCTTACACTAGATGAAACTCCCAGCAATAGAGCTTGTCTCAAACAGACAAACTGCGATACTGGCACTGAGGAACACTCCAGAGCTGGATGCTGGCATGTGAGACCACTGCTTCAAATCAAGCTACCACAAGCCATAAGTAAGATGGACTTGGGGGGTGAGATCAGATCAGACTGACTGTTACAACGAACACTTTAAAGAAAATGAGCAACCATCTCATGTACCCCAAGCTGCAGCAAAGATGAGCATCCTGAGAAACCAGTGCTCATCACAACTAGCAAGTCAGTCATTCAGTTCAGAACTTATGCCAGCTTTCCAACTCATACATTGCTCTCCCCTGACAGAAGATCAGAGTAATACAGACAGAGACATATTTAACAACTGTCTCCAAAGCACGCCTGTCAAAACACCAAACACAGCTTATTCCCGGTGCTAGGTTAAGTCTAATGCCAGAAGAGATTGCAAATTCAAAGAAACTGAGAAAACAATCCAGAAGTTTTTCTTAGGCACCATCCAACTCGACAAAAAATTCACTGACTTAATGCTTGATGTAGTTCTTGTGAAGACCCTATTATCCCTACAAAAAAAAAAAACCAAACCCAAAAAACCTACAACAAAAAAACCCCAAACAAAACAAAACACAGAAAAAAACATGGCAAACCCCCGCCCCAGGAACACTATGAAATGAAATCACCATCACCCAAAGAAATTTATCAACCACAATTGCATGAATTCAGACCATCTCTACACAGTGAAACTATGATCTGGAACTATAATCTTTGCATTACCAAACTGAGAAATAAAATCAAGAAAAGCAAATGTAAAGTATTAAAAATCAAAGAGAGCTTTGACAAAATTCAGTTTGCATTGATAAACAGTTCTTAGGCACCTCCCGAGCCAAGAAAGATGGGAAAAACTGGCCCTGAAGAAAAAGGGACATTGCTCAGAATTGGCGTGACTTAAGCTACTGTAGTCACACGGAGATAGGAGATAATCACCACAGCGAAAGCCCAGGAAAACCAGGGTATGAGGGGTCTTCATGGAAGGGGGACTACAGAGGAAGGACAAACTCCTGTACGCTTCAAGAAACAGGTCTCGAAAGGCAAAGGAGATTAAGAAGAAAGCAGACAGTGCAGAGGAAAAGATCAGATGAACAAGGATATCTCAAACCCAGCACTTGAAGCTGATACGACCAAATGTATGCCACAGTTTCCTATCAAGTTACTAAAACCCTGTGTGGAAATTTCAGGAGGGGAAAGGGGCCAAAGAAAAGCAAAGCTGAGAAAACGCTCATAATTCAAGTGGCACAGGAAACAGATGGGCAGAGTATTTAAAGTTGTCTTTAACAGACCAGTTTCACTCTTTTTTTTTTTTTTACTATGAATCAGAATGACTTACTATTAATAACAATGCAAGAGAGCTATTAAAAAATAACACTGTAATTAATAGCGTGCAAAACAGAACAGAAATAAAAAAAGCCCTACCCACCAATGAAATACTGAAAAGATTTGGTACTGGCACCTGAAATGAAGTGGTGTGAGTGTCCATGGCCAGCCGCTCCACCTCTGGAAATACAGAACTACAGCCAGTGCAAGGAAAGGGAAAGACTCTTTTTGACCACAGCAACCGTGAGGAAAATCTCACATATCTCTGTTTCATGAGTGTATTTTTTTTGTGAGAGGATTTCATACTGGCTGAAAGAGGCAACAGATGCAACGCTCAAGAAAACAAAAAGCTTGAATTAGGTCCCCAAATGAAACCGGATGCCCAGTAACCAACAATGCCATGATGGAGGAATGAAGAGAACAGACTTCATTCATTTAAATTGACTGTCCAGAGGGAATTGGCTTTTCACAGACTGCACAGGCAGGAGAACACCCTTTACTCCTGCAGAGTGGGAAAAGAAGGCAGGAGCAGCTGCCAGCCTCAGAAAGGAAAGGACAGGGGTGCACACTGATGTGTAGCATTGTCCTGAGCCAAAGCTGCAGCTCTCTATCCACAGCAGTCTGCTCCATGGGTAAAAGCAACAACTCATGCAACTGTTTTACCCTGAGGACCAAACTCAAACTGCCATCTGTGCTAATAAGCAACTATAAATAGAACAGGTGCCTCAATTTCATGTAACTATGGGAACTCTGAATAATCAATTATCAGATTCATTAAAACACACCTTTATTTTTCCATTTTACTGCTTTGCAGGATACATTCCAACAACCTTCTCAAACAGTTTACAGCCTTCAGCCTTAGAGAATAACATCTCCTCAGGCTGTACCAAACCATGCAGTTAAAAGAGAAGCAGAAGTGCGACCCATTTTGCTCTGCAATAGTCACCTGTCCTCTTCATTATAGAGAACTCACACTCCAGTCTGTGCTTTTAGCAAATATTAACACAAGCAACTTGATGTTATCTAGGGATTTCTTGACAAATGGAGACCAATGGCTTAGCTTGAGATGACTCCATCTCAAGTCTACCACACTTCTCTAGAGTTTACTGTTTTCACTGCATGGACAACCCAGTAGCTTATTCTGCAGCTGGGATGTCCTTTCCCCACAGGAAGATGGACTCCAGCTGCTCCAGCTTTAGAGACTCCCCCGTTAGAGTACTACAGCACTATCAAAACCTATGTAAGAAAGACCGAAGTCTGATTCCAAGGCAATATTACTGAAACATTTACAGTTACATGAAACTTACCAAGTAGCTGCTACATACTTTATAGGTATAGAATTGACTTTGCATCATCCCAGTTGACTAAAAAAAAAATACCATGCAAGTTTAAAGCCAACTGTGTTACGCAGCTGTATAAATTTTAACTCTATTACACAAACTCTCAACCACATCAAGAATATTAAAGATGATAAAACTTACATTCTAAGAACCAGGAATCATTATCTTTAATTACTATCCTTTACATTTATTAAATTAGTTACCTCAATAATTCTATTATTTCGCTTAAGCCTAATGTCACTGAGAGGATTAAATCTATTTCTCAGAAAGCAGTTCCATGGTGCTTTTCAAGTTCTCTGGAACTTCTTCTGCTCTCCAAGAACTATTACAAAAAATAATGTGGACGAACAATAAACAGCAACTTTCTGGCCTGCTCTTTCAGAGCTCATGCATATGCGTTTTTCAGGTCTCCGACTTAAAAATGCCAAGTTTAAATATAACTAATGCCTTCTCCTTGATAATTGTGAAAACTAAAAGCATGTTATTATACATCCCATGATGTGAACTTCGTATCTGCCTTTTTCCCAAGCAATGAACAAAAATATTTACTGAACTGTCTTGCCTCTATTGACTATTCTGATAGCTCTGTGCAGTCATAACACATTACTGGCTTTTGTGTGTTTAATTTTTCATTCTTGGCTATAGTTTCCTCTTCCAAACTTCATTTCTGAGTTTTCAGGAACTCTCTGCTTTGGGCATTTTAAAAAATATTTGCCCTTTTTGTTTTTAATTGAAAGACTGACTTTTTGATGATAATGAAAAGTTCCTAAACAATTTGCAGTTATCTGCTTTGGATTTTAGGCATACTTTACTGGCCCAAACAGAAGTTACAATCATCTGCACTTAAGCAGTTATTTTTGTTGTGTAGTCAGTCTGTTTAAGAGATTGAGGATTACCTGCATGAGAATTAACAAGCTTTTTACTGCTCAAGAGATTAGTTATTCTGAAGAACAAACTTAATACCCCCTCTTCCCCAAATAAAAATCACATTAACATGAATATAAAGAACTGTGGATTTATGTGACACTCCATCTCAAATCTATCAGAATTAAATAATCTATGAAGAAGAATGAACAAAACATTTTAAAAATGTGCCTGCAGAAGAAATCAGTTGAAGCGCTGCAATGCAGAGTACATACTCGACCCAGCCCTGATTCAAAACACAAATATCCAGGCCTTAACAATTAGTGGATACTATTAACTCCTTTCATCCTGCAAGTTATTACAAAACCACAGAAAAATGTCTGTCAACA